TCGGGAGATATTGTTACGAAATTTGTGAAGTCAAATGATCAGCTTGCAGATATCTTCACCAAGTCCCTCACATGTCCTCGTATTAATTACATCTGTAACAAGCTAGGTACATATGATTTGTATGCACCAGCTTGAGGGGGAGTGTTAGAATAGAAATAAGTATTTCCTACTTAGAATAGGAATAGGAATAGGAATAGGAATAAGAATAAGAATCCTAGTTGGAAAAGGATTCCAATGTAGTGTCTATAAATAGGGTCTCAATGTAACTATTTAGATACACAATTCAATATTATTTTTCCCATTTATTTCTCACATAAACCAAGAAAATCTCAAGCATGCTCAACCTATATCTCAAATAGCTCAATGATCTAGGAAAAGCCTGGTCCTGTTCTCTTTGAAGAGGCTAAATATAACATTCTCCTAGGTCTTTAAGAAGCATAAGCAAATGAATGAAAAGTATATCACCTACATGAAACACCAAAAAGTTTCAGAAAAAGTATCTCCAAGGCTTGAAAAACTAAGAAGAGTAATTCCAATCATAGACTGCCACAAGGTACAGGCACATGGTTCAAGCAAACAAAATCTGCCCTTAAATCTTAATGACCACATTCACATGGCAATATGAGTAATTTAGAACACAGTACATATACAAGTGCACGATAAACACTAGAAGAGGATAATGGATTTACAAGGAGCTGATAGTACTCCGCCTCCCGCAGAAGCTGAGCATATTCAGAATCTTTCAGGGGTGGAATTACACCATCCCTCAACCAATTAAGGATATGGCGAAAGTGCTTTCCGTCCCTGTCAACGAATATGTGTCCCTGCAAAAACACATTGAAAGGAGATATGAAGTCCTGAAAACATAGACCATAGATGTCTCTTCTCTCAAAGATCAACATGAAGGAGCATGAACTTGAGATCTGTCAAAGATAATAAATATATTTTTTGACAAGAATGAAATATAAATAACATTTCCAGAAACTAAAGAACCAGCTAATACCAATGAACAAGGCATCCGAGCTAATTCCTAATATGGATGAATGCACAGTGCATTATGGTAAGTGGTAACCAAAACCAACCAGTATTTTAGGACCCTGTGCATCTGCACAGTTTATCTAGAACTGTCCAAGTTTGAACTACTAAACATCAAAATCATTGACCCTATGAGAACACTAGACACAAAAGCAGAGCATACTAGTGTCAAGACTAACATGATGTAACATCTAATTACACACAACAGAGAAAGAAAACGCAAAAAGAGCAGAGAAAGAAAATAAGTGCAAAAATGTAAGAGACCTTGGAGATTTTGTACATGCTTGTTTATGTTTCACGTGAACCTGTTTTAAAAATTGCATCTTGTACTGACATTTCAGCACTCCATTTCCAAAGAAAGGAATAAAATATTGAGATTCATAAAGTAATTGGTGACAAGATTGGTGCTTTTTTATTTTATTACAAAATTACAAGAAGTTCAAGGTAATTTCTTAGCTTGTTTCCTTTTATTTTATTGATGTTCTGATGTAAGTAACCCAGTATATAGTATGCCAAAGAGTAGAGAACCCACACAAAATTATGGTTCTCTAAAAAAGACGTCCAGTCATCTATCTTGTGAGTCGTGGGTGCACTCAAAAACTATCAAAAAAACAAAAGGGATATTCTAATCTGTGCAAGATCATATTACTCTGCTTAATTTCTTTATCACATACATTGAAGCTTTCAGCAAGCAGCATTTTCTCTTTGAACTATCAGACATCAGTAATGGGATACTAAAATGAAAAATATGTTCATGAATACTACAGTATTCCTTATTCTGACTATCCCACGATAACAAAGATCACTCGCCAGCAGTGTGTGGGTAAGATAAAGGATCCGTGTCTGAGTCGCTGGATCAAAAAAATGGATCTATGGTTTCAAGTCCACTTGATTTCAAGAAAACCGAATCAATTGGCCTCCAAGCAGAAGACTACCACCTAGTACTTCTTGTTATCAGATGGTTTTGGTTTATTAACAAGAGTTCTAATGTTAGTTATCAAAAAATAAAAAATCGGTTTATATGGATCACATCCAAATTGGATTCTTTTGTCTAATTCTTTTTTACCATGACCCAACAAGGTGTTTTTCTCTTACTATAAGAACCATCATAGGATACTCAAACATGGATCGTATCCTGATGTATGCTTTAGACTTCACATTTGGTTGAACATTGTTCATCGATGAATGAAGAATAGCTAGCCTAAAAACAGAATGATGCTATGGCATTACATTATGCATAACAAATGATATTGTCCAAACTCAGCCTAGGAATAAGTTGTGAATTGTCAAGAGAACATTCTAGTGAAAGACTCTGAAAAGCTAATAGCCTGTTAAATGTTGTTCACCAGGTGCCTGTCATCTGCAACAACCAAGGGCCAAAAAAATTTCATTCCGAAGTGGGTCCATTCCAGCTATGTGTTCCACATCAGAGTTTCTTGCAGAATCTGTGGGGGTCAATTCCGAAGGTGATGAACAGGTTAGAACATTCAGTGTTGCTACTGGAAAGTGCCAACATATGAACAATAAGGCGGGGAAGGACTCTAATGGTTGCGAGGTGGGACAAAATCTGCTCCGAGTTTGGTGCACCCTAAAGATTCCTATTTGTATAGAAAAATCGGAGTCTTTTGTAGAGAATCATTTTTTTTATAACCGTGGTGTTTGGACAAGCTTGCGCTCACCTCGACTAATTCCACAGGATACCTTTCACCTCCCACCAGCTACATGTATCAGGTAACTGTGTCCACCAAGGCTAGGATATATGAGAAGAAAACAACTAGTGATTTGTGTCTCTGATGGGTTTGAACCTGAGACCTCATAGTTCTCAACCCACTTCATTGACCACTAGGCCACATCCTTGGGTATGGAGTCTTACTCCAACAACAACATACCCAGTGTAATCTTCTTGTATACGCAACCTTATTCCTACCTTGTAAAGGTAGAGAGATTGTTCCCACTAACAATTAAATTATTTGCCTTATAAAAAAAAATGTTTTCATCTTATAGATAGGTATATCCTCCTTAGTTTGTCCCTTTAGTTTAACCAATCAGATCTACTTGGATACCACAAAACATGGTGTTTTTTTCACATTTACAGTTAAACCTATTCAGTTAAATATAAGCCTCTCTCTCAGGAACTGTTTAAAAAGGCATATGTTAGTAAAATCCTTTAACCCATTCCTACATGATTTATTTATTGATTTGGTCAGCAAGGTCACTTTCATTTACCCAAGCAAAGGTTGGTGTTGAAATTGTTGAGGTTGCATAAGGTCAGGAGCAATGGCAAGAGACTATGGGAGGTGGAGACATCTGACTAAATTTAGAGGAATTTTTGTGGGGAAGACCAATAGAAGGCTTGCCCTGATTTTGAAGGGAGAAATGGACGAAGAGGTGGAGAGGACGAAAGCTGATGGGCCATTAAATTTCTATTCAATTTGATTTGTTGCAACAGCTTTTTTTATTTTTTGAGACAAGTAACAGAGGTGTAACAGCTTGAAGCAATTAGCACGTTTCTCACAACTTAGAGATTAGATGTACAGAAAACCAAAAACCTAAAGGCTAGCAAACAGCGTAACCAGGGTTAAGTTTAACTCAAGTTGAGACATATGGATGAGACCATAAATCCTCAGACGAATAGTTTGTTAGACATGAAAGAACGAAAAGTGGCTCCATTGGTAGGGGGAGGCAGGTGCATGACAGCCATTCTTTTGGGAGATAATCTCTGACTAGAGAAGGAACCGAATCTGAATTGGTGCTTTTATGTGCAACCAGTGGTCTTGCTTTTTCCAATCAAGGTTTTTGCTTGTCCAATTGCAGCATATGGAAGGGACAACCAATCGTTTAAAATTCTTGCAGCTCTCTACTTCACATCATTGTATAAGGTATGAGATAGAGCAGTATTTCAAGGGATACGAGAAGACCCCACATTCTCTCAGGTCATGGAAAATACTCGAAATTTCCAAAATTAAAGTAAAAAGGCTAACTTCCATCCTCCTTCATTAACTATGAATGATACTCTTCTGTAACTGTAGTTCAACATCTGAGAGTCAATCGCAATGTGCCTTATGTAATTAAAGAAGTGAGTGTGTGCATAAAATGTACCTTCTCTGACTCCTGGCAGATAGTGTGACGACCACTAAACATAGCAGCGAGCATCGAGTCTGGCTCACGTTGTGTGAGGGTATCCAGTGTTGTGCAAAACTTCCTCCCTCCTTTAGAGAAGAATTTTCAGAATCACTCATAAAAATCAGCCCAAAAAAGATTTGTGTGTTAGAAAATGACAAGGTAAAATCATTTTCTTGCGTGACAATTCTTCAGCATTATCCTTTCATGTTTGTAACAAAGTGAAGATATTAAACATAATATTTAATACTAAAATACGTAATCCAGCTGGAAAGGAGAATATCCCTGGGATGAACTTAAATGGAAACAACCTCCAATATTTTAGTTGGAACTTTAATTTAAGCAAAATTCAACAGGTCTATAGACTCCAATCTTGCAGAATGTTTCTTAATTGTTTTATGTTGTAGAACGAAATGAAAGAGAAATATCATTTCTGTCAACTCAGATGTCTAAGATTGGAACTACTGTAACTGTTATACTCATTTCTGACCCAAATAGATTACTGCTTCTAATATTGTACCTTATGCATCATTCAGTGTACTATGAGAAAAGGAAAACCTGTGAGCTAAAACCAACTTTTGAGATTTACATTCATGACCTAAGAAAGAGTAATACTTCTAAAACTGCACCTTGTGCCCATCCATTGTATAGTGACAGAATTGGAAATCAATTCGTCTAGATCTTAATATGGAGTATCACTACAAATTCTTAATCCCCGAAATGCCTAGGGAAGGAGATTCAAAAGAGCAAGGGTTTACCGATATTCAGACGAACCATGGAAGACGAACTGTCGGAGTGATAGGCCATTCTCAGAGTGTGAGGATTGATGTATCAATGGACTGTCAGTGTCACTCTCCAAAGCATACAATTGATTCTACTCATTCTTTCTACTTTCTAGTCCTCGAAAGTAGCATTATTGACCCCTCTCACTTAAGTAATTTCCACTTTACCTCCTACAATTTTCGTATTTAGGAATATTATTACACTTTATTTGGAAATTTATCAAGTTATGAAATTGTGTTTGGTTAATATTTAAAAAGCTTAAGTCATTTGCGGTCTCTTAAAGTTATTCGCATAATTAACTTAGACACCTTAACTGTAACGTGTACCTTGTAACACCCCAGAAATTAGTAGGCTAAACTAGAGCTTAACGTGAGGGTTAGCGTCAAGAAAGGAGGGCAAAGGCCAAGGGAGTGGGCTAGGGCAGCCTACCTTGGTGTAGACACTGCCCCACCTACCACGCCCACCACCACAGTTCGTGATCAAGACCACGACCCTAGGTGTGGCTCGTGGTGGGCTAGGCAATAGCCTCCCCAAAACTGCCCAAAATTAACCCCTCTTCACGAGCCACTTCACGGCTCGTGGTGAAGACCACAGCTCGTGGAGGGGAGTTGGGTGTGTGAGGATAGAGGAGAGATGGCTTAGCCACTACCTCAAGGCCTACGAGAGGGACCATGGCTTGTGGCAAGCGCCACGACTCGTGGTGCCCTCTAAAAGGTGCCTTGGGTTGTGGGGCTAATGGCACTTTTGCCAAGCCACTTCATCAAGGTCCACAAAGGGGACCATGGCTCGTGGGACCCCATGTGGTACCTGGGCAACTAGGAATGGCAATGGGGCGGGGTGGGTTTAATTAAGGCTATGTGGGGCGGGGCGGGTTTAAGGTTGTGTGGTGCGGGGCGGGTTGAAGTGGGTTTTTTAAAAATTAATGTGGGGCGGGGAGGGTTGCGGGTATATGTGATTTTATGTGGGTTCAAACTTAATTTTAACTTTTTACATGTTATAAGAGTGATAGAACATTATTTATAAAAGCTACTAAAATATTCAAGATAATAAATGAAAATTGTTCAATAAAAATAATATAATTTCTTACATGTTTTCCAATTGACCTCTAAAAAATAAAATTTTAAGTCACTATCCTATTAAATTAATACAACTTAATGAAAAATGAATTTATTTTTATGAATTTTAATTTTAGTATCAAACATAACTAGAAAAGAAAATATTAAAAAAATTATGCGGGGCGGATTCATGCAGGGAGGATCTATGCGGGGTGGGGCAGGGGGAATTAAAAATTTTGCGGGTTAAGCTCAACCCGCACCGCCCCGCCCCACACCGCCCCATTGCCATCTCTATAGGCAACCCACTTAAAATGGAGGGTGTTTTGGGTAATTTCGGTTTAAGTTAGAATTAAGTGAGGTCGTTTTGCGTTAACTTAGGGTCACTATATAAACCTTTTTAACTCTAAAACTCACCAATTCAACTCATTATTTCCAAAACCCAAATAAATCCCAAAGTTCATCCTCTCCCAAAATATTCTTTCTCTAGAAACTTAAAGAGGAAGAAGAAGAAGGAGATTCAAGTTAGGGTTCAAGAAGCAAGTTTTTTCACATCAAATTCATTGGGCTTTGTTGTTTTTGTCCATGAGGGCCAACTGGCTCCATAGCTAAGGTCTTAACGGATGTCCATGAAATTTTTTAGCAAAAATGAGGTTGAAATTCTGGATCACCAAAAAATTCATGAATTATAGCACACGAAAATCGGCAAAATGGGGGGTTTACCTGCTCTGGGACTCGTTTGACCTTGAAAATGGGCCGTTTTAGTCGTGAGAGCCAACTGACTCCATAACTGAGGTCATAACGGACGTCCATGAAAGATTCGACAAAAACAAGGTCGGAATTCTGGATCACCAAAATATTCATGGACTATAGCACACGAAAATTGGCAAAATCACGAAAATCGGTAAAATGGGGGGTTTACCTTCTCTAGGTTTCGTTTGACCTTGAAAATGAGCCTCTTTGGCCATGAGGGCCAACTGGTTCCATAGCTAAGGTCTTAATGAACGTTCATAAAAAATTTCGGCAAAAATGAGGTCGGAATTCCGAATCACCAAAAAATCCATGGACTATATCACACGAAAATCGGCAAAATGAGGGGTTTACCTGCTCCGGGGCTTGTTTGACCTTGAAAATGGGTTGTTTTAGCTGTTAGGACCAACTGGCTCCGTAGCTAAGGTCTTAACAGATGTCCATGAAAAATTTTGGCAAAAATGAGGTCGGAATTCCAGATCACCAAAAAATTGATGGACTATATCACACGAAAATTGGTAAAATGGGGGGTTTACCTGCTCCAGGGCTCGTTTGACCTTGAAAATGGGACGTTTTGGCCGT